TGTCGTGTATAAAGATGTATAGTTTATATTTTGCTTATTCTATGTCCTCAAGAGCAGAGTGCTTTGGCTATTTCTTGTCATTCATTGTTATGTATATTAGAAGTTGTATAGGGAGTACCTATTTTTTTGTATGTATATTGGTTTTTTTCCACCCCTGTTATAGCCCAAATGGGGCTGACAGTATAATAAAATGAAATGAAATGAAATGAATGAACGCGCACACACTGTTGCCCGCGAAGTTTCCCTCCGGGGAGGCCCGGCTAGGTGGGGCGACCATTTCAGAGTTGGGAGATCTTCTTCTCACTTACAACGACACTCTTCGTCACTGCAGGATCGTCCGTCGCACTCAGAGCGCCCCACCACCATCTTTCTCGCAAAAGAAGACAGTAGCGTTACGCCAGCTACAGAAAAACATTTGCCAATCCAGTATCACTTCATAAATTCTACCCGCAGTGCTATGCAGACCGTTGCCCCGGCTGTGGAAACTCGCCCACGACCTTCCATGTCTCGATCGAGTGCACTGCGAACATCTTTCCTCCCTTACCTGCTTTCCTTCACCCTTTACGTAACGAGGAGCTGTGGGATGATGCTCTCCGCAATGGACATCGCGAGGTCCTCCGAGCTCTGATACAGCGGGCCCGACTCGTCGATGAAGTCGTCCCAGATACACCGGACTAGGGGTTCCTCCCACGCCCTCATTCTACATTGTTTTGTGAATAAAGACGTTTCTGTCTCTCTCTCTCTCTCTTAATCCCACTTTCCGTTGTCCCTAATGACTGCATGATTTAACCAACATCATATTTCTTCCAATACGTGCTCTTTACGGCGGAGAAAGCCTTCCGTTAATTAGGTCAACAACTACACGAATAAATAAATAAATAAATAAATAAATAAATAAATTTTCTATGTTATATACTTTTAACCTTCAAGGACGCATCCGCAGTGAGACACCTCGGAGCCCTCCGTGGTAACCACCACTTACTCAGACTATGACTTATCAGAGTCAGTCAGACACAGATTCACCAAAATTTTCCTTAACCAGACTCACATTCAATAAAATATTCCTCAACCACCCTCACTCCGCCTCAAACTCATCATAATGTTACTCACAGGACTCGCTCGGACTCGCACTTACGAATATATCCGAGCCTGAGTGAGTCTGGTTGAGTCAACTGAGGAGTTAACGTACAGTTGGCTTATTCGAACACCGTGTCAGTGCTCGCTAGCACCAAGATCTCGCACAATCCGTGCTCTGCTTCTTCAAATATGAGATGTCAGTGGTTTCAATCCAGTCAAGACTTTTAACTGAAAGAGATGACTCACACGAGACATTCTTCATCAAAATTTGACAGAAAAGAGTTTAGGCCGCGGTGGAGGGGGAGGCTCATGGTACCCTTTCCTACTCCGTAACTCACACCACCACTGATCGACGAATATTCCGTTGGCACATGAACACTGGTATGAACACGTGTGAGTCAGTCGACAGTAATGCTGAAGTCGAGTGAATAGAACCACAGAACGGCAAAAAAAGTTTACAGCTCACTCAGACTCACTCACAATATACATTTCGCGCATAAAGCTCATCCGGACTAATACTAGCCAAAAGTTTCATCTACGGGACTCAGTTGGACTCTGAATCACTGAAAGTGTTCTTAATTGAATTTACTCAAACTCGCCAAGATATTATTTTCCAGAACTCACTCAACTTCCGGCTCGATCTGACTCAGTAGTCAGCCGACTCACGAATGAGTTTATTTATTTATTTATTTATTATTTATTTATTTATTTATTTATTTATTTATTTATTATTTATTTATTTATTTATTGGTGCTGTAATCCCCTGGAGGGATTTCAGCAGATGGGTACAAAAGACGTAAACATCAGCATATAACACCAGGCAAACAGATGGAACAGCCTATCACATTTCACATAGTAAGCAGCCATATAACCCAAGGCAAACAAATAGCTATCACTTGCGTTCTACAACGTAAACAAACGTAACAAAATTTTACCAATGACACATCACTCTCATTTTAAGAAAAGAAAACAAAGCTAGCACACAAGTAAAATTATTTTTCCCTGTTTTTCCAGACTAGCGGTAAATGATGTCAAAGACTGTGTTGTGACTTGATGGTTAGTCAAACTATTCCATTTCACTATTCCACTATTCCAGTTTGCCGGCGTATATACGGTTGTACCACAGAGCCACACTACTACAAAAATTTATTATCCACGAAGCAACGCTACTGCAGCTTAAAGCGGCTTTGGACAGAGACACTATACGAATGTTCTGTAGTACAAAGAACCTTAGCGCTTGTAATATTGCGTGCCAGATGCGGTGAATCGCGCCAGCTGTCAAAACGTGTCCATTGAAGCGACTGGGGTGTTTTAAAGGCCCACTGATTGCAAAGCGCTCGGATATTTTGGACATGATCAGCTGCAAAAGCATCGATAGAGGCAGCAGCTGCGTCGGTTCGCGTGTTGCCTTACGGGCGTGAAGTGGACCCTTCTCTGATTCGCAAAAGCGAGACTTACGCTGCAATGGGCCCTTTACAAATGCGCTTGCAATACGCATTCAGTGACACTTTGAAACGGCGAATGTTACGCGCACAGTCATTCGTTTCTCTACGGCAAGTTGCGGGCATACAACGAGAGCCAACGTCGGGCTGACTTTAGAAGACGATGCGCACGCAGTTCTAGTACACTATCACGTTCCTACTCTTGATCGCACTGCTCAAGTTTCCTTCCTAGTTTTTCTTTTTTATTTCATGAACCCCCCCCCCTTCACCAACTGTCGCGCGCGTCTCGCCCTTTCATGATTACAGGACGCGCAGGCAGCAGTCCTCAGCACGCACGAGGAACTATCATTGCTACGGAACGAGCAACGAGCCTTCGTTCCTGCTTCAGAGAATCGCGTGATACACTGCAAACACACCGTTGCCTGTGCTTCCGCCCCCTTTTTGATGCGACCTCTACTTCACTGACCCTTCGCACTCGTCTCACTGTCACACGATAGGAGCACGCGTGGGCTTTTTTGTACCCCGCTGCCACAGTGCGGGCGATCGAAAAAGACGTTGCGCTGGGATTCCCACCTTTTTTAAGCCACAGGAACGTTTGCGAAGCCGTATGAAATTTTTCACGGGAGACAAAACGAATAGAATGTTAAGTTCATGTACAATTTCACTCTTTCAACCTTGGTATTCTTTTTATATATCTTATTTTATTTATGATTTATTTGAAAACCTTGATTATGACAGTGAATCTCTTTTCAAGCCACCTATTCCTAAACGTATTCTAAAATAAGGTAGCATATGTTTCATGGCCCATCCCTCACGCTAGGCTGCGTCAAGTCTCTTAGAAACAAACAACCAACCAATCATCCCTCACAATATTAAAATGAGGTGCAACTAGTTGGCCTCTCATATGCTATTATGGGTAGAAACAGCGCACAAACTCACGGGACGAAGAGAAGAGACACAAACAAGCGCTGTTTGTGTCTCTTGTTTTCGTCCCGTGAGTTTGTGCGCTGTTTCTGCCCATAATGTATTACCAACTAGCCCAACTTTCAGTCTTGCCTCTCATATGCTTTCCAAAGTGTGCGTTTTTTTAGAGTGCTGCGAAGAAGGGGTGAGGAGTTAGCTGCGTAAATTCCCAACGTTAAGGAGTGTCATATTTTTTTTTTTTACAGCGAAAGGTATTATGAGAACACAACAAGAGTCGTTTTTGGCATCGTAGTCGTCCGCAGCCACCACCGCCAGGTGTCCACAACCACTTATCACGCGAAATAATAAAAAGAAAACTGAGTAAATAATATACACCAAGGACACAAACGGATTAGAACCCGGGTACACTGCGTGCCAGCCCAGTATTCTACCACTCAGTCGCGCCGTTTTTTTTTTTTCGCTTTATTTTCTGGTGCAAAAGAACATGCAAGATAGGCAAGATACATTACAGACAGACTGATGCAACGCTGTCTGGTCTAGCCGTTTTTCATATCGTTGAGTACGTCAAGTATAGCGACGCAGACTGGCTGGATCAGGCTGGGCTCTGAAACTCTGCCTAATTTGCTCAACACTTTCAATGAAATTGTCTCGCAAAGATTTCACGTGCTCATATGCATGTTGTATCCGCATTCGTGTTTTCTATAATCCGTGGAGACCCCGAACCCTTATCACGTCATGTGGACTTTCTATTGGCGTGAACATTATGTCATAAGGATTCAGATGGCAATTATTTCTTTAGAGTGGGCTGGAGGACAGTCCCACTAAAATGTCGCATCGCTGCAATCTGGTGCGTGAAACTCCACTGCAGACTAACTCTATAACGGAGGCTTTATATCGGGAAAGGAATCACTGTCAATATGAATAATAAATCGTTATAGAACAGCAAGAAAAAAACAACAACCAGGCGTCACACAATGAGACTTGCGTAACGAATGGGTGGTCAAATCCTCCAATCCAACGCAAAAACTTCAGGCATCATTCTTCATTGTCGTCAGCCACAGCATCAAAAAAGTGCACAAAATTACTCCCACAACTTATTTTTTTTTCTCCGGCATGAATGACATGGCACAAAGCAGGCGATTTAAGGTCTATCATCGAACAGGCTTCTCCGAAAAATAACGAAGGATGGTATAGCGAACGCCTCCCTACTACAGAACAATTATGCTGATTTATGACATAGCGGGTACCCTGCAAGTGTGCTTGTAGGCCCTGCAAGGCCCTGCAGGGCCACTCTGGCTCTGCAAGGCCGCTCTGGCAGCTCTGGCCCTGCAAAGAAGGCCTTGCAAGGCCGCTCTTGCAGCTTTCGCTGTAACTGTGCTGCGCGTTCCGCGTAGGGCTGGCGATTCTTTTTTTAACTGTTCCGAAAAGCGTCACCGTCGCACGCGCATACATTCCTTGGAAGGGAAACTCGTCACTCACTCTTGGCGCTTCGGTGAAGGTGGACGCATCGCCGAGCGCCCGGCTGTAGTGTACAGTCAACGTCGGCGAAGAACGGAAATGTGCGTCCTCCTACTCGGCTCGAACCTCGGATGCGAGGCTTCTTTCTTCGGGAAAAAAGGTGAGTGTGGTGACCAAAATACACCATCGCTGTATCAATTCTTTTGGGGTACTTCTTCTTCGTACTTCTTCGTACTTTTGTTTGATATCTACTATTTTCTTCGTACTTCTGTTTGATATCCGAGCGTTAACCGATGTGTTTGCGATTAAATGATTAAAAGATACACGTGCGTAACGGTCAAAGCAAAGTAAATTAACGGAACAGTGTTATCGACTCTCTGTGTGGACAGGACATTAGAAGACTTCAGTTAAGCCGTACTCGGCTGTTGAATATTTTTTAACATTTTTTTTCCTTTGTGTAGTAGAGGTAGATACGTATTCTTTCTTTCACTGTTGTTTCGAAGTTAAAAACTGCTTCGTGTACACTATGCGATGAAAATGTGTACAACGGTAAATAATTAATGTCTCATATGTCGCTCATCTCTGTCGTTATTGTATATTACAGAACTTTTAATGAGGTTAGTGTCGGTGCTTGCACATCAAGCTGCTGTTGGCGAACTGCATTGATCTGTGAAAACGGCATGAGTCGATTTATCTTTCATTTCACTAAGAAGTGTTGCTCTAGGAAAGCGAATAGACGGTAAAGAGAGGAGCACAATTTGTCGTTTCATTTTGTCGTGTGTTATCGCAGTTTTCAGAGGTTTTCAGAACTAATGCCGAAGCAATACGCCTTTGCTACAAAAGCTTCACTACAGTTGGAAATGAAACTAATAGAAAGCGTTAAGGACCGATTGTATTATAAGTCGACAGGAGATCGCTTTCACGGCGACTTAACGAAGCCTGTTAAGCTAATGCTGTTAGCTCTACCATATGATGATAAGTACCTTTCACACTTTGAACAATAAAAAAATAACGGCATCTTTCCTATCTGTCCCGACGTTTGAGCGGCACGCTACGTGCTAGTTCACGCTCCGACGGACCTAAATAAAGTTTTTCTATACCAAACCATATCCCTCTAAAGGTAACCATGTGCGGATGCGAAGCAGTGGGAAGATGGTGAACGGCACCCACTGAAACTCGTCTACGTCGCCTCAGGCAGGCGCACCTAAATTCAGAACCTCTGACTAACGCTGCCGGTGACCGCTGCGTTAGTCAGAGGTTCTGAATGCTAAACGAAAAGCTTGCAAAAAGCAGCCAAACATAATGTATCGAAACAAAGAACATTAAACAATGAACTCCCGTGCTCATATTTGCAGCTATGAATATACGCATCGAATCTGTATGTGCCGCACCCCTGTGCTCGCGCTAAGAACTTCGTGTTGGTTCGTATGTCTATACAAAATACGGAATACATTACCGTTATATAAATAAGTAATGAAATGCTGTTTGTACTGTCTTCAAAAGGATATGGTGCATTTGCAATGAAAACGCTCTAAAGGTTATTGACCCTTTTACTGAAGACTTCAGTAGGCCGCACATTGGTGCAACTCCGAACAATCATCATCCTCATCAGCCTGACTACGTTTACTGCAGGACAAAGGCCTCTCCCATGTTACCCCAGTTAACCCGGTCCTGTGCTTGCTGCTGCCAATTTATACCCGCAAACTTCTTAATCTCATCTGCCCACCTAACCTTCTGTATCCCTCTAACCCGCTTCCCTTCTCTGGGAATCCAGTTTGCAACCCTTAATGACCAGCGGTTATCCTGTCTACGCGCTACATGCCCGGCCTATGTCCATTTCCTCTTCTTGATTTCAACTATGATATCCTTAACCCCCGTTTGTCCCCTAATCCACTCTGCTCCCTTCTTGTCTCTTAATGTTACATCAACTATTTTTCTTTCCGTTGCTCGCTGCGTCGTCCTCAATTTAAGTTGAACTCTCTTTGTAAGTCTCCAGATTTCTGCTCCGTAGCTAAGTACCGGCAAGATACAGCTGTTATATACCTTCTTCTTGAGGGATAGTGGCAATCTACCTGTCATAATTTGAGAGTGCTTGTCGAATGTGCTCCACCCCATTCTTATTATTCTAGTTATTTCAATCTCGTGGTTCGGCTCTGCTGTTATTACCTGCCCTAAGCAGACATAGTCCTTTGCTACTTGAAGTGCACTATTACCTATCTCGAAGCACTGCTCTTTTCCGAGGTTGTTGTACATTACTTTCGTTTTCTGCAGATTCATTTTAAGACCCACCTTTCTGCTCTCCTTGTCTAACTCCGTAATCATGAGTTGCAATTCGTCTCCTGAGTTACTCAGCAATGCAATGTCGCCGGCGAATCGCAGCTTACTAAGGTACTCTCCATTAACTCTTATCCCTAACTGTTCCCATTCTAGGCTTCTGAAAACCTCCTGTAAGCACGCGGTAAATAGCATTGGGGAGATTGTGTCCCCCTGCCTTACACCCTTCTTGATTGGTATTGTGTTGCTTTCTTTATGAAGCACTATGGTAGCAGCTGATCTCCTTTAGATTTCTTCCAAAATGTTTATATATACTTCATATACGCCCTGATTCCGCAGTGTCTGCATGACGGCTGATATTTTTACTGAATCAAACGCCTTCTCGTAATCTATGAAGGCTATGTATAGTGGTTGGTTATATTATGAGCAATTCTGTATTATCTCATTGATAGTATGAATGTGGTCAATTGTTGAGTAGCCTGTTCGAAATCCTGCTTGTTCCTTTGGTTGATTGAATTCTAATGTTTTCTTTACTCTGTTAGCAGTTATCTTTGTAAATAGCTTGTATACTACAGAGAGCAAGCTGATCGGCCTGTAATTCTTCAAGTCCTTGTCATCTCCTTTCTTATGTATTAAGATGATGTTAGCGTTCTTCCAAGGCTCTGGTACTCTTGCCGTCAGGACAATCATCATACTACTGCATAATTATGCGGGTAGTCTGAAAAACATCGATTTCGTAAAATCTCTACTCGCACCACGCCTGGGCCTGTCTGGGGCAACAAAAGGCGAGTATCTGTGTCACGTCGTGCTCATCGGCACTGCGCTGTGGACAATTCTTCATGCGGGCAGTGCAACGAGGTCCGTGCCTTACCAATAGTTCCCGGGGTCCGGGCTTCGTGCAAGGAAGTTGCATACCGAAGACCCAGTGCATAGGGTCGATACTGCATGGCATCCCCCACCTCAAGCTTCTAGAAATCTGTGGGTACGAACTGTCCATGCCCATCGTGTGCTGCCCACACACGGACAGTGGCGGATAAAGAAGGGGGGGGGGGGGCGGTTAAGAGAGATCTCCCCCCTCCCCAAAGCCTGTCGGCACCTTCTTCTCCTCTCTTCAGTGCTTGCCGCCCACCTGATGTCCCCAATCAGGACAAATGAGCGGTACAACCTTGACCACACATTAACAGTATTTATGCTATGATAGAGTTGTTCTACTCGTAGAAACAAGAAGTTAAGCTATTGGGTGTTACATCAAGTGACCACCCCCCCCCCCCCCTCTAAAAGGAGTGGCTGGATCTACCCCTGCATATGGAACATTCCACACCTGGATCAGAAGGTGAGGAATCAGGTGCACGTGTGCCACTCTGGCGCACAATGTGCGCAGCTTCCACTGAAGTCGCTAGACCGCTGCGACATCACTGCGCGAGCCTATGACGTTCATGTGCATGGAGGAAGGAAAAAATAGAAAAGAGCAAAGCGCAACGAGATAGAAGCAAGAAAAATTATGGCAACTTCGCACACCAAGACTGAAGGAAGAGCGAAGTTATGTGGCCTTTCTTGCTACAGGTGTGGATATTTGTTCGTCCGCCAGGACCGTACCCAGAAGTGAAAAAAAAAATCGAAGCAAGGAGGGGGTGGGTGGGGGCACCGGTCTGGTGTGTCCCTCCCTGGCTATGCCCCAGCCGTCCCTGTCCGTGTCTGTCACGGGGAAATGCGTGAACGCGAGGCACAAAACAAGGTTTAGCAATAGACTAAAATCAGTCGCGATTGTGGCAGAACATTATGAAACACCTACAAGCACAAACCCTTTATACTATTCGGTGACTCCAACGTCGACAGTATGGGCCTTAAGACCTATAGCTATGCCAACTCGTCATCATTGACTTCGCGGAAAAGCGTGTATTTTTTCCCCTCAGTTAAAAGCACGATACACAGAGCGGTTTCACAATAGGGTACGCAAAACTTGGTGTTAGCGTTTTGTCGCCACTGCGCATGCGTCATAAGCTAACCTAATGAACTCCCACGTTAACGTATGAAAATAGAGTACCGTATACTCAAGCAATGCTCACAATGCTAATGCTTAGAACGCTATTCTAATGCTGCCTGTTGCGCTAAGCGGTACATGGCAGCACACAAGACAGCTTACCCAAAATTGTGCAGTCTTCTATGATGTCAAATAAAACAAGCAAATGTTCCGATTTGCTATATATCATATCAGCGCTGGTTGAGTAGAATAAAATGACCGAGTTTACAGCCGAAGCTTTGAACAGAGAGAGCGAGAGAAGAAACGGGCGAGTTGATGGCAAAATAATATGTGGTAAAATATAAGCCGAAACTGTTCAATGAGATGCAGCCCGGCTAAGCACTTATTGTGTCGTATGTTCATTTCAGTTGGGCCGTTTGGCCCCCACAGAGGCATTCCTGGCGTGCATTCGTCTGGCGTGCTCTTCCTGACACACCGACATCCAGGATACAGCTTTGGAGTGCAACATGGTAAACCTGTCTTCCATGTAAATCTCTGGCCCTTCGTTTCCATGAACTGCAATGAGTAGACCGATATCGTCTCTGTGTTACGACTTAACAGCATGCCGGCATGAGCTGATTCGAAGCAGTCATACAGATTGTGAAACATGAACAATTTATTTTGCCAAGTTACGTTTTAGAAGTCCTCAATAGCTTCTTTAATGAGGTGAGCGTTCAGAATTTCTCGTCTCTCTTTCTCTGACAAGACAAGCCTGATTGGTGGCTAGAAATATTACAACGGCTGTTGAAGTGCATTGTAGACACAAACAATTCAATTTCTCGTCATTATATGTCGTTGTGAGCGTGTCACAGGTTTTTTTAAGAAAAAGACGTTTTCAATACACCACCGTTTAATTGACTTGCTGCTAAGTCCCGCTGAACAAGTAGCTGGCAAGGTCAATGCTTTTGTTTCACTTGGCAAATATGCTTTCTGGACGCTAAATACTTTGAAAACTACCCGAAACACGCCAAAGGCCTCTTGCGCAACGACACTAAGGTGGTAGCCCTTGTCGCGGCGTTATTTGCTATAAGTAAAGTAGAAAGCTCAATGAGCGTACGATACAGGTAAAAAGAAATGAATGATAAAGATACTGCAACTCACCTGAGTGCCAACACTGAGGGCGTTAGCTTTATTATTCATTTGGGCTGCATTCCAAACTTCAGTTCCTTGCTCTTATATGTTGCGCTGTCAGAGTCGAAGGACAATACTAGGTCGTTCTCTTCAGAATAGCCGGTATTTGCGTCCTTTCGCTGAAAATGGGCAGAGGAGTTATAGACGAGGCATTCAGTATCTGTCTAATACTAATATTTGGGAATGACACAATAGCACTTACTTCCAGAAAAATAGTAACTAGCTGTTTCAGTTATTGTGCTGACTATAGAATAGTTTTGTCCCAGCTCAAACGAAAAATCTAGTGTACACAATGCCAATGGAGAATGGTCCGTCTCGTCACAATGCAATCAAAAGTGAAGCGGTATACATAACTTCCTGTGTGAGACTTGAACTCGGCTTAAGCTGCTAAGCACACGTTCAAAATTGGGTACTATTGTCACTGCGCACTAATCACTCAAGTGTGTACGACGTCTGAGAGCAGAATCACGTGGCGAATTTTGGGAGCGCAACGTGCTATGTCTTTTAACAACATGTCTGTAAGACTCACAACCACCTTTTTTCTCTAACATTATCAACGCCGTCCGTGTGCTATGCGAACAAATCAACCATGTCCAATGCATATTTGTAGAGTGACTTTGTGCTTGATTACGTCACAGGCCCTTACGTTCCTGCGATACCTGTAGGGCTCCCTCCAAGGCTCCTTGCAAGGCTGCCTTTACCACACGGTGGCAGCTTCGGATTACGGATCAATCGCAGAGGAAATATGCCAGGTATGCACATGCGTGCTTGTCTCATCAGACCGGTTGACGAGTGGGCTTGTGTGTCATTTCCTTCCTGGTCAATGCAACTTTTATTTGCTGCTGTCGCAGTTCCAAGGCCGCACGTTCCTTACCAGCCCTCGACGCATCGTGGTGGTGGCGGCGGGCGATATCTCAATAGGCTGTGCCCCTACCTTTCAGGTATGTGCTAAAGTTTTCTGTGTGCATGTTCTTAATTGCTCGTTAAATTAGTTTACTCATCTAACGAACAACGTTTGAGAGTGGGTAAGAAATACAAGATCTCGAGCTAAAACAAGAAAAAAAGGGAAGATCTCTGCCCGCGTGCAACCAAGAGAGCATGAAAGCTAATGTGCCAGTGATGCTAAAGATGAGCTCCCTCTAAACATTGCGCAGCACGTTTTAAAATGCAACAAAGTCCTTCCAAGTACAATGTAACTAGCATCCGCACAAAAACACTTAGAAAAAACATTCTTGTTACAAGAGCAGCGTGCCGGAAGCTGCAGAAGAGAACATGAAAACTTCTACGACACCTTTCCGCCAAGTACATAACTGTAGCCCAGAAGTATCAATACGTTTGCCGCGTTCATTCCAAACACTAACACCACATTCGCTGCGTTCTCACAAGGTCCTGTCGTATTATGCAATGACCGGAACTCCTTGGGATGCACAGTGGGCTTCGTTGGGGTCCTTTCTCATTCTCAGAGTTCGCTAAATCTGCTGCTTGGGCGAGTTAATTCTTGATTAATATAGATTTACCAACGCGCCAATGTGCGTGCGCGCGCGCGCGCGCGTGTGTGTGTGTGTGGGGGGGGGGGGGGGAGTTCCTCTTAAGTGGTGTTGGGAAATATATCTTCCCACACATATAGCTTGCACTCGGAAATATATCTTGCCCGATGTTATAAAGCACATTTTTCTCCGCTACCTGAGAGACATTCTTGCAACACACCAGTTCTGTGGCCCTAGCAGGTTGCACAGGCCGGAACACGCACTTTCGCCATGTTTTTCGCTTCGCAACAGCTTCATTGTCACTTTAAAACACACTCTCAGATCTCACGAATTCAAACTACGACATTTTTACGAGGCACCATATATTGTTGGCCTCTGCAATACCCACATGAACGTTTTTAACGCGCATTCTATGGATAGCGCGATAGTATTTCTCGCACGCGATCGCCCTTCGTCGGAAAGCAAGCGTAGTGGATGAGATGCAGACATCGACTGCGTGTTAGATCAATAGCTCAACGCCATGGGCACTAACCTAGTGAAGTGGTCCTTTAATACCCTAACTGTACCAAACAGAAACATTTTAACGGCAAAGTTGCTCTAGTCAACTCTTCGCCGTCCATTAGCGTAGTTCGGGCATGTTGTGCACAGAAGCCGCACTCGAAACGCTGCGCACCATGAATTCGCGTTTTTTGGCCGACTGGGCGTGTGGAATGGGCCACATCTGCACTGCATCGCTTCTGTAGCATTCTAGCGTCGTGGCCAATTGCGCATATTGTCGCTCCATGGCTTAACATAGAGTGTTAAAAAAGAGCGATGACACAACACATATTTTTTTTCGGAAAGACTATACAGCAAGACATAGGAATGCTTAGAAGGACATGTAAAAGAAGAAAGAGAAAAATGAAAGAAAGAGGAAGATGATAATCAGAGGAAGTATCCGGTTTGCTAACCTGCACTTGGGAAGGGGAAATGGGATCTAAAAGAATGAAAGACAAGAACAGCGTAGGAAGGCAATAGCTTGACGAATAGGGGCATCAGCTTCACTGTTTCGATGGTTTTTATAGAGTAGAGCAGGCTGCATTTTTAACCTTTTTAATTAATTCAGTTCGATGCATATTCCAAACATTGGCATTCACTGTGATCTATACACCTGTTACCTGTGGCTTGCACACGTCGCCCGTTCCCTGTCCGGCTCGTGATTGCTGGTTTAGTTGCCGCGCCGGCGTGCGATCCCAGCAGCCACGCAGTGGCTATAAACATACTCACTTGACAAACTTAAAATAAACTTGCAAAATGTTTCAAGAGAACTCGTCGTCACTAAACACACAAGTTGAAACTCAAATACATATTGAAAAAGACTAAACGCTGAAAGGCTTATGACTATTCATACATTAAAACGTCACATTAGAGTTCCTGGAAAAAACGTGATCACCGCTTAAGAACAAACTGGTTGATTTCTATCACTCAGAGCTCAACCACAGTTGTGTAACGGAGCATAACGGTAGGGAGAGGTTGACCAATACAGTCGACGGAAAAAAAGAATGGCTTTCGCCCAACGGTCATCTTCGGCAAACGCCGTGGGATGTTACGAGCTCATTTTGGCCGAACGTCGCACAACCTGTGAGACCAATTTCAAGTTTCGTAGGCCTACGCAGACGTGGTGTAATGTGTTGTCGAATACCATCTTTCGTACTGTTTCCAGGTCCACTTGTTCCCCACAGACCGGTGATTCCATCGAGACCAACGAATCTGCCAGGACCAGTGGTTCCGTCAAAACCGTTGGTTCCATCAGGACCAGCGGTTCCGCACACGCCAGTTAACAAGCCAGGTGAATGGCCAGCACCGGGGGGTGGCAGCGATACTCCACCTAATAAGCCGGGTACAGTCCACGGGACATAGTTGAAGAGCGGCTTACAATATCTATGCTACCGTATGATATCTTTTTATGTGTTCCAACTGCGCAGTTCACTGTCCTGGAATATACCGAGAGGTGTTTAACCGTTCGAGAACTTTTCTTTATATCTTAACGCATGCCATTACAATGGTTCCATCCTGTCGCGGAGATCTGGTGGTCATAGTGCTATAGACCACTAACCCGAAGCTCGTAGTATCAAACCCTGGCCGCTGAAGCTGCGCATTTTGTTGCCGGCGAAATGCTAGACACATGTGTGCTTAAATTCAGGTGCACATTAAAAAAAAAAACAAATGATCAAAGTCCTTCGTGCTTTCCACTACAGCGTCCCTTAGATTTATATTGTTCTTTTTGGGGGGGTGGGTGCGTAAAGACCTCACCAATTACTGCCAACTCTCACTTGTACGAACGTCGGTTTGACAAAAATTTCGAACAAGTAAATTTCTGAAAATCCCAGCGGTTTTATTATGCGTTCTATGCAAAGGTATCTGACATTAAATGAACTTCTGAAATGAATATTTCAGTTGAATGAACTTGATCCGCTGACCTGGGCTCATTTTTTGGATCATTGAAGTTTTGCGCTATGCAGCACTGGCGTAGCCAATCCCTGCCGCCTCTATATGGGTCATCGATTGGTGAAAACGCAATATATCGCTTGTGCATTCAGTGCCACTGAGACAAAGCGGCCGAACGGAAAACGAAATAAAAGACACATGTGCGCTTCGGTACCTGCGCATCGCTATCACATTTAGAAATTGATTGCAGTGTTCCTCTGAAACAGAAACTAGAGATGTGCGCCGAAGTTGCAATGGCTGAGGCAGGTTCAAATCCTGTAATATTATCTGAGGCTGCAGTGTATTGAAAATCTGCGAGACTTCGTGCCACTGGCAGTGCACGGTAACCTAGATTCTCTGGACAACTTGGTCTCTTCTTGAGTTTTAAGGAGGCAGTCCAAATGAAAAATACATAAATATTTTCAAAATTACGTGTACTACACACCAGCTGGCTTGATTTATGCGCTGCCCAATGCTGTTTCATATTCTAGCGAATATTCAATTTAGCAAACTTTCATGTATTTTTGGACCCCCGGAGTTCACTCAACCCAGAGCTTCACTGCAATACGCGTACAGTGGCTTCAAACATACTTTCTCGATAAATAAAAAACATAAAACTACAGACTGACCACAACAAAACGTGGTGGCGAAAACACGTAAAACTTCAAATGACTAATAGGTAAAGATTAAGGCTAGCTCTTGAAAGGTTTAACATTTTCATATATTGAAACAGTCACATTCGACCTCATAGAAAACACGTGATCATTGCCTTAGAACGAACTCCACACTTTCTATCACTCACAGCTTCAACACAGTGATATAACGTTACACGGAGGAAGGGAGTGGGTGACTAATACAGTTGACATAGGAAGAGCACTGCTTTCGCCTTGCAGTCAGTCTTACAGAAACGGGTAATAGTTCATCTCGGAGCGAAGATGGCACAATGTTCGGCCAACTTGATCCGCGATAGGCCTATATGTAGGAGGAGCGTAATGTGTTGCTAAATACCGTCTCTTGTACTGTGTCTAGGTCCCTTTGTTTCCCCCGAACTGGTAATTCATCGAGACCATCGAATACACCAGGATCAGTGGTAACCTTGAAACCGTTGGTTCCATCGGGATCAACCGTTCCGCCAGTGCCAGTCAATAAGCCAGGTAAGCGATCGGAAGGAGGCAGAAGTTCTTGAGGCAATATGCAGGGTATAGTGCACTGGGCCTGGTTAAAGGGCGACTTACAATATCTATCCTACTCTACGGGGAGTTTTGTTCTAACTACTTGTCAGGCCCATATACTGCAGTGTTCTCAGAGAAGGTGCCTTGCAAGTCGAAAACTTTAATAAACTATATAGACTAAGTAACTGTATAGTTATTCCTATTTTTTTCTCATTCCCTCACCGATAGCAACGCAGTTATATGGTTTCTCTTTTTATGTGAAGCGACGCACAGCAGTGCCAAGTGGTTGCTAAGCAACGCGCACTGACGTACAGGCGCTGTTTCTGGTCTACGCGATAAGGGAAAACGAAAAGCCAAACAGCTTGGCTGTTAAAAGCGGACACTCTTCTATCATAGTTGAGAGGTCTGTCTTGTAAGAGTTGATGTGAAATCGTTCTGATCCTCTATTCTGTTCCTTTGCGTAGGGGAGGGGCCCGATGGCAGCGCGCCATGTGGCGACTGAGTGTGACCCCGGGATCAACACCATCATCCACTAAATCGAGCCGAGCAGAAGAAAAATGAAAAAAAAAAACTGCACTGGCCTACCTGCTGAGGAATCGTCGCATGCTGTGACATCACCCCACGTTGATTGCTGGGCAGAGCTTTCTTTCTTTTTTTTTATTCCCTCACACGCCCCACCGAGAAGGTGCGCATCGACGAGACTTAAGAGCACAATATTACCGCATCCCCACTAGTGTGAATCATAAATAGTGGAGAAGCACCGGGTATCGTACCTGTATGTCACCGTGCGTCACCCGAGCGTCGCCACTACGAATGTAAACTGAGTGACAGTAAAGTACATAAAGTGTGTACATGTATACTAATGTATTCATTTATTTACTCTTTAATGCTTTCCTATTTCAATCCTCTTGATATACTTCGTATATCAGTCTTGAGTTCCGGATTCCGTTTACCCTTTAATACTACTGTTATGTGGTCTGTAAAATGAAGAGCCAATAGTTATCCGAGTGAATCTCATTAAAGGTGGCAAAGAACGTATGCCATGTTTCCTCGGGGTAGTTCTTTTTGTTTAGAAAATAAAAAACGTCTCCTGCCACCAAGCGCCAGGTGACGTGAAGGGTTCAGCATAGAGGACACTTGCAGCGCGCTGCTCAAACAGAAGACGCAATTACTTGTACAGGTTTGCTAGTTAGCGCCTGTGCTGTGTCAACCAGCGCGTCCTTTTCGAGCGCCCTTCATTGTGCTTAAACTGTGCGCTGCAACTTCGGAGCCGCGTCTCGTTTTGTGTGTAACCTTTCCGATTTCTCGATATCGCATTTATTTCTTCACCTTCGCGGCTAAACAATGACACTTTTTTTTTTTAGAGGCGGAGCTCCTTATAACGGCACCCGTTCGTCCCTCGTAGCCGTTGTAGTGTGTGACAGGTATAACATTTGACCTCCAAGGTGGTGCCGGTGAGAGATTTCTTCTGTGCGTTGTTGAACAATAGAAAATAGTGCTCAACGTACATGCCAACAGCTGTTAATGGGGGTGAGAGACAGGAGCACTCGGCTTTTAGTTAACGCGCACGCTGCGATTCCAATTAGCAGCCATTGGCATGTACATTGAGCACTATCTGACAAGAAAGGGTTGCTACGTTATACTCGCTGGGTGTAACCTCCTTAGTTTTAGAAAGGTTTAGCGAGCGTTGAGCCGCAGTGCCATGAATCGAATGAACTAGCATATACCATTAATGAACTTGAGGTGGTTAAAGGTGGGAAGTAGATATGAAGCGCAAGGCGTAAGAAACTAAAAGCCGAATTCTCCTGTCTCTCATTTCCTATTAGCAGCCATTGACATGTACATTGAGCACTATCTGACAGAAAAAGGTTGCTACGTTATACTCGCTGGGCGTAACCTCCTTGGTTTTAGAAAGGTTTAGCGAGCGTTGGGCCGCCGGGCCATGAATACAGTGAACTAGAACATACCATGAACTCGAGGTGGTTAAAGGTGGGAAGTAGACCCGAAGCGCAAGCCGTAAGAAAGTGTGCATGTTCCACCTCTCGTTTAGTCCTTGGAATGTCCGCTGGATGGCGGTGCTTCTATGTGGGGAATATATGATAAAAGATGCCAGATGGTGGTACTTGGAGTGTTGAATAGATGGACGAACGGACACACAGACAGATGCATGAACAGACGCAGGGGCGGATGCATGGACGAACGCAGGGACGGACGCACGAACAGACGCACGCACGGACGGGCGGATGGACGCATGGACGGTCACACAGACGGACGCATGGACGGACGGAAGCAAGAACGAATGGACGGACAAATACTTCGCCCCACTCTTCATCATTCACTCCATGGATATGCTGCCAATTTTATTTTTGTCTATGACACTGGCTTTGTAAGGATGCAAAAGTAGTTGACAAGGACCAATGCAGTGACCACAGAATGGTAAAGCTCAAACTCACATGAATTAAAAAAAGCAAAGATATAAACTGATACGCAAAAAGCTAAATAATGTGCTAGCAATGAAAGGGAAAGTACAGGTGTTGAGAGTTTCGTTTCGGAATAGATTCGCGGCTCTAAACGAGGTAACCGATGGTAGTGTTGACAGAATGAGCGATAATCTTACTAGTATTATCAAAGAATGTGTAAAGGAGGTTGTAGGTAGCAGTCACTATACAGGACACTGGCAAACTATCGAAGGACATGAAAAAGTCTCATTAAGAGACGACAAACCAAGAGAACCTCAAGTGCGACCGATTGAATAGAGCTATATGTAGCTTTCGAAGTTAATCGATATGCGTAAGGTAGCCGACATCAGAAGGTATACACTGGAGAGAATCGAGCAGGCTGTAAGAAGCGGCAGAAGCCTAGAAGCTGCGAAGGCAAACTTGTGCATAGGCAAAACTCGGATGTATGCATTAAGGGACAAGAAAGAGAACGTCATAAGCAATATGGATAGGATAGGATGGATAGGAAGTCGGCGGAGAATTTCTACAGAGAGCTGTACAGAAGCCGAAACAACCAGAATCATACCGCGAGAAGCAATAATATCCCAGAGGAATTCAACATCTTACCAATAACGACAGGGCAAGTAGTGAAAGCCCTAGAAGGAATGCAAAGAGGCAAAGCCACTGGTAAGGATAAGGTAACAATGGACCTCCTGAAAGGTAGCGGAGATATTGTGTTAGAAAAACTGGCCGCCTTACATATGAAGTGCCTCTTGATGGGAAGGGCACCATAATCTTAGAAGAAAACCGTCACCTTCATCCTTAAAAAGAGAGCCGTCAAGAACTTTAAAAATTACAGGCCAATCAGCTGTCCATTCTATAGAAACTATTTACAAAAAATATTAGCTAATAGAATATAGGGCGACAGTAGAGTTACATCAACCGAAGAACCAAGCAGGATTTCGTACAGGCTACTCCACAATAGACCATATCCATACTATCAAGCACGTGATAGAGGAATGCGCTGAATAAAACCAATCCCTATACATAGCCTTCATAGATTACGAGAAGTTTGACTCAGTCGATACATTAGAAGTGATGCAGGCACTACGTAATCAAAGCCTTGATGAACCTTACTAAACATACTGAAAGAAACCTACAGCGTATCCACAGCGACCATAGTTGGTTGGTTGGTTGGTTGCGAAACTTTATTGAGGTCTTGCAAGGCGCGCGTCAGCGCGCAGCGGGCGACTCCCACGTCGGGACCGTTAGGCCAAGCCTATCGGCCGCTCCGCGGGCCTGCTGGATGGCCCAAAGTTGGTCGGCCAGGAGGGAGCTGCGTAGGGCCGCCTCCCACCTGACCGATGTAGTGTTGGGGTTAGTGTACATTGCCTTGCACTCCCAGAGCATGTGCGCCAGCGTGGATACATCCCCACGTGCGGGGCAAGCGTCATTGGGAAACACGTCAGGATAAATAGCGTGAAGGGATCTCAGGTTAGGGTACGTGTCGGTCTATAGTAGTCTGAGCGTAAGGGCCTGTGGCCTATTAAGATTTGGATGAGGGAGTGGATATAGTCTCCGCGCGAGGTAAAAATATTTTGTTATTTCGTTGTACGTGGCAGGCGCGTCCCTGTTTTCCGCCACCCCGTTGGCCCCGAATCGTTGCCCGGAACCCGCGCGGTCGGTTAGGGCGCGCGTGGCCTCGTGGGCAGACTCATTGAGGTTCGGGGGAGCGCCTTGGACCTGTCCAACATGTGCAGGAAACCAAATCAGTACGTGGTGCTTGATGCCGTCGCGGCCAGCACTTTGGAGCACGCGCAGGGCTTTCTTGGAGATTACACCGCGCTCGAAAGCGCGAATAGCTGACCTAGAGTCACTATATATGACCTCCCTTTCACCTTCCAGGATGGCCAGGGCGATGGCCACTTGCTCGGCGATCGTCGGATCGTCAGTGTGAACCGATGCGCAGTTGGTGATTTGTTGTTTGGAGTCGACGACGACTGCGGAGAAGGCGCGGCACCCACGGTACGCTGCCGCGTCGACAAAGCTGACGCCGTGCTCCTCACTGTAAATCTGCTTGAGAAGAGTGGCAGCTCTAGCCCGTCGCCTACCACGATTGTGCTCGGGATGGACATTCCTCGGTGTCGGTGCCACGGTGATGAGGTCACGAATCTCACGGGGCACCTGTCTCATCTTCTCGTCCACTTCAGCCGGAGAGTGACCGAGCTCTCGGAGTATATGTCTGCCGGTCTGGGAGCTCGAAAGGCGCGCGAGCTGGGCCCGCTCCTGCGCTTCGGCAATCTCCTCCAACGTATTGTGTACTCCGAGCTGGAGCAGGCACTCGGTTCGCGTCCTGATCGGGATACCGAGGGCCCGCTTGGTAATCTTTCTGAGCAAGACGTTGATCTTGTCACGCTCGGCACGCTGCCAATTGTGCATAGCCGCGACATATGAAAAGTGGCAAAGCACAAAGGCATTGACCAGGCAGATTAGGTCGTCTTCCTTGAGGCCTTGGTAGCGGTTGGCCACCCGCCGAACCAGCCGAACCGCGTTATCCGTCTTGGCGGCGAGCTTGAGTATAGTCTTGCCGTTGGAACCATTGGACTCGATGGTCATGCCGAGGACCCGAATGGAGTCGACTCTGGGTATTGCGCTGCCATCTCCGGTGTAGAGCTTGATATCACTCTTCGAGATCGGCTGCCAGTTTTTGGGCTTGGGCCCTCGCCTAGTGGGTTGGTAAAGGAGGAGCTCGGACTTGCTTGGGGAACACCTCAGGCCTGTGGGATGGAGGTAATCTTCCGTGGTGTCTATGGCCTCCTGTAGGGAGCGCTCGACTTGCCCGTCGCTGCCACCTGTGCACCAAATGGTAATATCGTCCGCGTAAATTGTGTGGTTAATGCCTTCGATACATGAGAGCCTCTTGGACAACCCGACCATGACAAGATTGAACAGGGTGGGTGATATCACTGACCCTTGTGGCGTGCTGCGCGATCCCAGCTCTATCTCCTCGGAGACAAGGTCTCCCACACTGAGGGTGGCTCTCCTACGGGTCAAGAACAATTTGACATATTTGTAGAATCTGACTCCAAGGCCGAGCTCAGCAATCGACTGCAACACGAAAGAGTGAGTAACATTGCCGAAGGCTTTCTCTAAGTCGAGGCCGAGAATGGCCCGCATGTCTCGAGTGTTGCAGTCGATGACTTGGTGCTTGAGCAGCTTCATAGCGTCTTGCGTCGAAAGCTTGGCCCGAAAACCAATCATGGTGTGCGGGTAGAGCCCATTGTCTTCCAGGTACCGAGTCAATCTATTGAGGACCACATGCTCGGCTATCTTTCCCACGCAGGATGTGAGCGAAATGGGGCGCATGTTGTCCAAGTTGGGTGACCTCCCCGGCTTAGGAATGAGCACGGTGCGTGCGACCT